GTTCGTGCTGACCGACCAGTGGAGATTTGTTTTTCAACACCGGATGTGATTGAAGCAGGTGTTGATCTTTTCCTCACAAATTCTGGCGCGGTGATTACCAGCCATCACGTTCCGAATACGTGTATTCTATTTGCAACTCGAGCCCGCGCAAATGCGGAGCCGGAAGTTTTCTATTCGAGGCCGCAGGCATTGGATCCTTCGAACATTGAGGTCGGTGTTCCGCAAGATGATGTGACATTGGTTCCGGGAAAAGTGTCGGAAGTACGCACCATTTTGGAAGGTACATGCGACGCCACTCCCGAAGAACGCACAGCTAGCAGCAGTGCCGCAAAGAAGGAAGAGATGGAGGCAAATCGCAATACAGCTGTACCACAGATCGAGAGTGGATATTTTCTACATCTTCGAACTTTCAGCTGCGATAAATGTACGACACTTTCCTTAGCAGGAATGGCATCTTGTCATCGATGCGGAGTAGTATTTCAGAGCAATACAACAGATGGACCGATTTCAAAATTCATGCGACTTCAGATGAGGCGTGCAAAGGTGCTACAAGAGCAGGGGGGCGTGCCCAAGAACATGACCGCAACAAGCATGCTTGACAGCATTGCCGCGCAGGACCTACAGTCTGGACGACCTCCAGCTCGTGGTAGCCCGTCAGTTGACAGTCAGATTATTCTTGCAGCTCGCGGCCGCCTTCGCAAAGCATTGAAATCAGGGTATGAGAATGTATTCGATCGATTCAACCGCGACGACGTCTTCGCTACCTCCTTAACCGGAGAAGGATGCACAGCGTTTGATGCAGCGCAAGAAGACTTGTTTGCGTCACTGCAATTACCGGCACCCACGAGATCAGCGAAGCAGAGATCAAAAGGGAAGTCGGTTGTCAGTGATTTGGATCGACTGGACAGGGTTGACCTCGCCAAGCTCGCGTATATTCGATGCGGTGTTGACAACCTACATACCTGTTTCAAGCAAGGCGTCGACGAGAACTTTCTGATCAGTTATCGCCGAGAGTTTATGTCACTCCGACAATACGCCGCCGTAATTGGCGATAGCCGAGATGAGATCAAGATCCAGGGCTTTATCCCCACGACGGACGTCTATGGCGATATTCATTCAATTCGTATTCCTCGTGGAGACACGACAGGCATTTACAAGATTTTGAGTGAGTTTGCAGAGCAGAATGAAAATTATGCAAACATTCAATATCAGAGAAACGCGCAACAGTCTGCAAGTGTGCAGGGACGCGATCGTGGACAGCCAGTTTCACAGATGGGCTTCATGAACATCGAACAGCGCATGGCCACGCCTTATCCCAAGTTTGCCGATTGTGGCCAGGACATGTCGTCTGACGAGATTCGACGGCTTGAAGAGATCTTGCTTGAGTTTGGGCAGCGTGGAGCACCATCTCCTCAAGGACCTGTAACAAGGCCCCCGTTGACGCGGAAGCGATCGCAGATGTACATGGAGACTATTGGAGATGCAGACAAACGACCGAGGCTGCAGTGGAGGAGGAAAGAAGACCGAGATCAATCTGGTCGTATTGCAACTTGGGTTGACAACCGGACTCCACCGCCAGGCGTGCCTCAGCCGCCAGCTCCCGTAACAGGGACGCATACCTCGTCGGTATTCCGTATGAATGCACCTCCTGCTCAAGGACAAGTTTCAGGAAAGGGTGACTCCTCTAAACAGGATGTCGGTGAACGGAGAGATGTTTCTGGAAAGGGCAAAGGCCAAGGCAGTTCTTCGGCAGCAGGCTCAGCCGCTCCCGCAAAAGGGACGCCGCGTGGTTCTGTCGCCCGAGCAATTTCCCAGAGCCGTGTCCTTCCACCTAAACGTGGCAACATCCCCAAGGACCTCTTGGGTCCCCCAACTTCACCGCCACCGTTACCTGCACCCAACAACCCACCTGCAACTGGCCTTTCACCAATCTCCAAGCCACGTCCAGCCAAACCTTCACCTCCGAAGGTCCCACCACCAAAGGTGCCTCCTCCAAAGGTTCCTCCACCGAAAGTGCCACCCAATACAGCCAGTGGCATTCCGGTACATACAAGGCCGACAGATTTCAATCTCACGCCGAAGCCGCCGCCGCTTACAGACCTTTACAGTCGGTTGCAACCTTCCGTAAAAGGAAAGGGCAAGGATAAGCAGCAGGTGAGTGTTCGAGAAGGACCTTATGCTCCACAGCAATGGAATGTACAAAACGTGCCACCGCCGCCATTGCCACCCGGAACTTCATCCGCTTCGGCATCATCGTCACATAATGCACCCTTAACTGGGCCGCCGACTTCCAGCATTCGTGGAACTATTGATCGACCATTGGAACCCTTTGATTTTCCTGGAGTACAATGGCAACGCGATGACCCATGGGGCGAGAACTATTGGCCCAATCACATGGAATTGTGGGAGTGGTTGAGGCAGGGATGGCATGACGAGACGGAGCGTTTTGGAATACAATTTCTTTAAGCAGATGTTGAATAGCTACCATAAATGGTATGCCTTGCAGCTTATGAGTGTTGAGATAAAGATCACCTTCTGACGCGCTGAGAGATGATGTTTCACTTCATTGTCTCACTTCCCAATGCATCCATAACAGGATTGCCATAGTCGGAGAGTGAACTTTTAATCAATGCTTAACACTAACCTGGGCCTAGCATGTTTAACCACATGCCGAGTGAGGCGAAAACTGTACATTAGGGTAGCTACGTTCTCCTTGTATAGTGCATGCACGAGCTTGATGAGGGATTTCTAATATGATTCCTTCGTCGCTAGAATTTGATCCTCCCCGAGATTTTCCCTACGGGTAGCTCCTTGTAAAGGGGGGTGTTGAAATTCACCTCATCCCCATGGACCCCGTAGCGTTGACTCTCAAGGTAGAGCAAAAGGTAGCGCTTACCGGGCTAGCAGGGTTAGCTAGGTAGTTAGTACTATTAGAGCTGATCCTGTAAAATACAAGATTCTCTATAGATCTCTGCAGATAATCATTTTTAGATTTAAACAACTATATAGAAACCTTGTATGTTAAAAGCTTTATTCTAGATTTCTGCGGGTAAGAGCTTGCATTTTCAAAGTTTTCCTCTGGATCTTTGGGAAAGTAGATATCCCATATATGTGTGTGTTCATGAAATGAAAGCTCGTGAACGAATACAAATTATTTATATATTGCATGTTTAAATTGACATGATCATTTCCAGAGATCCAGAGGAAAGCTTTTGAAATGAAAGCTTTTATATATTTTTATTGTAGAAATGATCATCCACAGAGATCTAGAGGGAAGCTCTTGAATTAGAAGCTTGTACATAAAACAAGTTTAATCTATCTATATTATTTCCAGTGATTACTGTAAATAAACAAAATCCAACTATTTACTTCAAAAAAGAGTTGTAGTCTTGTTCCTAGCACTCCCAGGGCAAAAAAATACTGTAAAACAAGGGGTTTCGTAGCATGTGTTGTCTTAAACTAAATAGACTAGAGCTAGAATAGAATTATATAGGTAGAATTAAATTGGATTTGAGTTAGAGCTAAGATCTGAATTAAAACCTAAGTTCAACTAAACTTGTATTGAACTATAACTATAACCTATTTAAAATTCGATGAGAGTTGAATTAGAAAGGAATTGGAATTAAAATTAGAAGTTCGCCAGAATAAGATGTAAAATACAAAGCCGAAGCAACAGCAACAAGCATTGAATTAGAACTACAGTACAGCTTACATAGATTCATAACAATTTACAGTAATGTAAATTGGAAGGTATCATTACAGTTTCATGTCAAGCTGATTGGACATGCAATTGGCAACCACATTGATACCAATCAGAAGTTAATGCACAGACTTGTACATGGAGATTTCGACAAGGACAAAGGGAGTGGTGAGCTCAGACGCTTTCATTGTAAGAGCAAAGAACATATGCCTTTAGGTGAGACTTAAGCTCACATACTTGAAGGTTGAACGAAATAGTAAGAACACAGATTGACCTCAATAGGAAAACCAAAAAACAAAAAACCTTGAGAAAACCAATAACAACCTAGGAAAAGTCAAAAAACCTTGGGAAAACAAAAAACAAAAAAAGCAAAGAAACCAAAACAAATTAAAAAACAATCTTCAGAGAGTCTTGGCTCGGAACCCACCCCCTCCAGAGAGTCTGAAAATATTGTTTTTTTTTGTTTTTTTTTTCGTTTTTTGTGTTTTAATGTTTTTGGCACCCCCTAGATCCAAATATTGCCTTGCCTTGCCTGCTGCCACAAAGAATATTCAGAAAATCTTGGCTGGGAACCCACCCCCTCCAGAGAGTCTGAACATATAACTTTTCTTGTTTTTTTTCAATGTTTTTGGTACCACTCTAGATCCAAATATTGCTTTGCCTTGCCTGCTGCCACCCTGGGAGTGCAGTTTCTGTAATAAAATCTAGGCCTAAGAACAAATGAAAAATAACAAAAAACTGCACTCTCAGGGCCTGCCGTTCTGAAAAAAAAAAACTACTCAAGTTGCCGTCACAATCTTTTCAGGTGGAAGGCTAAAGGGACGGGTGTTTGGCATGGGAAATCCCATAACATCAGATGTGTATGCTCATTTAGTTGATTAACAACAGAACATTCAGTGTGTTCTTTTTTTTAAAATATATTTGTGCAAAGCTTGAATAACGCTTGATCTAAACTTTGCAATCCTGACGAGACGTGAGAGGATCGCAAGGTCTGAAACTACATCCAATCAGAGTCTAGTGATTCGATGACATTTTGTCTCTATAGCTCTTGGGAGCATTGCATGTGCTACAGGCTGATTCTGAGTTCATTACGACTTGTACCATGCAAACTATATATATATATGCAAACATCAAAAGACGATGCACCGGATCAGTCAACGCACGCTCCCGGCCTTCTCCAGTTGATCCATGACTGACCGACAGACAATCAACAGATATCAACAGTATGTATAAAAATGATTTTTTTTTTTTGAGTTGTTTTGTTCGTACCTGCTTCACTGCTTCACCACGTTTGACCGAGGCCGGAGCTGCGCCGTGTGGCCGCGAGGTGACTTCGAAATTTCCTAAGAGAGCCGGAAAATTGAGACAGGTGCAGGGTTCCATGCGGGTTCACTCATGTATGGTCCACTTTTTGTTTCAGGAACGCAAGTCCAGTTGCCCCTGAGAACTGATGGCTTGAGAACAACGAGGAAACATCCCTTCTTCACAACTGGCCAGCATGTGAGGTGGAGCAAGTTCTGCGAGCCATTGAGTCCGGGAACCTGGGAGACTCCGCACGATGCAAAAGGCGACTCCGCGTGATCGAGGCACCACACACCATCACGATCGACTGTCGGAGGATGTGCCTCATGAGATCTCATGATATGTGCTATCACATGCTATCACTAATATCACCTTCCATGGTCGAATCGATAATTGCCTATATAGACGATTGGGATAAAGGATCCAGATAGATCTTCTCATTCTCATGGATTTGGCCAGCACCCGTTGTTCCCAGGCAAGGGCAAGACGTGGCCCCGGCGCTGCTTGCCGTGTTGTCTGAGGTCACAGTCTTTTGCTCAGCAAATTGAAATTGGTGCAGCAGCCTGGGACTCTCATCCAGTGAAAGCCGCTTTGCTCTTGACTGAAAGATATACACTCTCAAAGCCCGTTCCTGGTAAAGGAACATACAGGAACAAGGATCTTCCAAACCTTCCAGTGGTTTCTATGTTGATTGTTTTGAACGTGCATCCGCACAGACCGTTGATGGGTCGCTTATCATTCGTCACTAAGCGGTGCTCCCAGGCCCACAAGGGAGCAGCTGCCTTTGCCAAAGCTTGCCGGGAGGCGGGATCAACCATCTTGCGCACAGTGTGGTGACGGGGAGAGATGAACTGATCGAACTCACCCTGACAAGACTTATATAGTTGAAGCAGAAAGTTTGAGACAGAAAACATGACACCAAAATGTCGCGATTGTGACAACAGGATATAGGTTAATGTTGACTCTTGACATAGGATTAAATATCCTCCCCTACTGCATCAGTTAAGCCCAGCTCGAGCCCCAATACTAAACTAATTAAAACCTGAATTGCACATGTCCATCACCCTAATAGAGTTTTTCCTTGGCAGAAACCACCCCCTATTGATCAAGCCCAGCTGCCCCAGAAAAGTAAAAAATACTATGTTGCTTTCTTTTTGGCTAGTATCCAATATTTTCTGGTCCACTCATCCTCATTTTCTCCTCCTTCTGCTTCTCATCCTGCTTTTTCTTCTCATCATTCCCTGTAAAGGCAGTTATTTCATGTTCCCTTACTAAGACTCTATCAAAATCTTACGGCGTTCAAGCTCACAAAGGGTACCCCTCACACAGGCCCTACCAGTCCCTCCCCCTATTAGTCAAGCCCACCCTTTGGTCTCCATCTTGTTTTCCATCTCTTTCATCCTGCAATCCTCTTTCTTTTCCTAATCATCCCAATCATCCCAATCCCAATCTTTTCTAATCTTATCATCTCATCATCCATCATCAGGTCATCACCTCCATGAAGGGGATGTGGTCTCCAATACCTCCAATATCAAACCTCGTTCACCTTGAAGGGGGGGAGGTTGATTAATCCTACGTCGACATTATATGAGTCGCTTCTTTGGGCCTCGCCTGAAAACTGTCCTGACCTGAACAATGACTTTTTTTGCGGGGTCGAGGTACACCTTTACCCGCTTCTTGTTTAAATGCAAATTTAACAAGCCGATGTCAAAAAACATCCACATGTTTCAGTTTCTTGATTTTTATGCGGCAAGGTCCATGTCTAACATAATTACTGTAGTTGCTTCAACAAATTTAATGGCTTCTTGTATACCGGATACCGAGAGATCAAATTATGTAAGCTAAAGTCTGTTTCCTCAAATCTTTCGGCTGGAGTGAGCCATCAACGTGTTTCAGTCACCGTCCGATTCACGACTTTTCCATGCTGCAGATCCGGAAGTTGGCGGACAACCTGTGGGATGTCAGGGCCTGAGGAGGGTGGATGAAAAAGTCTCAAAGATTTTCAATTTGGAGTCTTTTGTCCGTTTCGGCGTGATTCCGTTCTGGAGTAAACTATGCCTGATGCTTTGTCTTCTTGAACATTGGAGGAATGTACGCGTACTCGTATCCTCTAAGACTCTAACATGGATGTCAAACATCTTGAGCACTGTTCCAACTGGTCCGCACTTCGGATCTCATCCTCCCCGTTGAGCTCGAGCGGTGTGGGCGTGGCAGGTGCCCAAGCTTCGAGCCTTGATCCTTCAAGAAGTCCTGGAGGCGGAGTTGAGGCTCCTCCACGTGAACCAGGCAGAGTGAAGTGTGGCACGAGGGAAGTATAGTTTGGTGAAGTGAGAGAGCAGGAATGCTGTGTGTGGTGCGGCTTTCTAGATGCTACTGGTATAGCGTGCATGTGACTTGTGACTTGTGTTTGTTCAGAGTCCAGAATGCATCCGCCGATACCACCAATTAGATCATATTAGATCCAATTAGAGCATCACGAATGAAGCAATCGCTTGACTTGTTCAAGTGTTGGTGAGTTCAGTGATTTCCGTTGATGATTTTGATGGCAGTTGTTTAGGCTGGAAATGCCCGCCACCACGAGGCTCAAGCCACCACAAGGTCGCATTGTGCGTTTCCTGCAGGGGGATTGTGCCTGGGATGATTCTATCCACTCAAGCCGATTGGGCTGCCCATAAGGAGGACACCGATCCACCTGGAGAGCAGAGTGGTGTGAAGGATACGTTTCAAGAGGCCCGTGAGGGAGAAGGAAGAGTAACCAAGGTGAGTTGTCCTTCCAAATCGGACAAGGTTCCTGCTAAGCAGGAAGCCGAGTCCGGGGAGACTCAGACGGACACCGATGAGTGCGCTCAAGTGAAGCCCTTGAAGCTCACACACATCAAGAGTGAAGTCGAGATCCCCCTTGATGAAGCCGACACCGTGGTCATGGAAGCAGCTGAGGAAGCCGTGCTTGAAGTCGACACCAGGGTGATGGAAGGCGAGAAGAAGGGGACAAAATGGATGTGGATCCACGCGTTTGCCAATGAAGCCGTGATTGAAGTGAAGGAATGGGGCTCGAAGCCCAACCACACTCGCAGCTTCCAAAAGAAGGATGAGAATGGGACAATGAACACCTACGAACTTCTATGGGCCAAGGTGGAACCAAAAGATCGAAGCTCGGACTATTGTCCCAAGTGCCACAGCACATGTGATCAGCACCATGAAGATTGTGAATACAAGAAACAAACGGCCTGTGGATGGTGCAATCAATTTCCTTGCAGGCATCAAAAGAAAAAGGGACGGCAAAGATGCTCTCGAAGACATTTCGGGTGCAACTATTGCCACCAAGAGAGCACCGGCCATTGCATCGCCAACCATTCAGATGTGGTTTACTACCACTTGAATCTGTGTGACCCAGAATGCCATGGCCAGTTACTGCAGTAAAATGCCAGGGCCAGTGGCCCACACTAGCTTGGCAGCTTCTCCGTGCCAACAGGCGTAAAACAACTGCGTGACTGCGTGTGTGTGTGTGTGTGTGTGCTGCTGTTTTGCTGCACATGATCGGCGCATGTGCTCAACTAACGAAGTGCCAGCCCGACGGGCATCAATGGGCAGCGACGATCCCCGGCAGGCGGTGGAGGTGAAAGACGTGGCGAAATCCTTTGAAGAGCTCCTGTCAGCTGTTGGCCCATCAGATGTGTTTGTTTGGCTTGGGCGCCCCAGCTGTTCCATTACGATAGTTTTCTTTCAGATGACGGAGAGTGGATTGGAGTGGTACTGAAAGGGGTCAAATCTTTCAGACTTTGTGTGGAGTTGCTGTTGAAACTATGGCTTTGCACAGACAGTGGGGTTGATAATGCCTGGGAGCACTCAGCGAGAATTGTGGGCATGGAGTGGCATGGAGTTTTGTTTTGTGCTTATGCTTGAAACATCTTGAAACGTTCACGTAGTTTCACGTCCATGATGATGGCTTGAGGATAGCCTGGGCCATTCAAGTAATGATCGATGGCTTAACGAGTGAAACACATTGTACATAGTTCATTTTCCGCTGGTCTTACCATTGATATAGGAGTCGCTAGAATCTTCAAGACTTCAAGATACCACATGACCCTTTCACATGTCTTCAGCGCCTTGAGGTTGCGATATCTAGAATTCGCACAAGAAGTCTTTGGTTCTGCTGGAGTTGGCTGCTAAGGGTGTGACGTGCACGGTCAGAAAATCCGGTCATTATCTTCTAGACGGATTCCTAGGTTGTTTCTCATTTGCAGAACAAACTTCATCCTTCAAGTGTTGTGTGAGGTAAACTGAACATGGACAATTGTGGAACTGCTTTGCAACAAATTCCAAATGATATATATAAATCATAATCCGGTTTTGTTCCATGCAGCTAATCAGCTCATCATCTTATGAAGCCTGAACGGAGCCTGTGGATCTTCGATCGGTCAGATTATTCTTGGCCGTTGTCAGCTGTCCAAAACAGGCGTTGTTTGGCTTTGTCAACCACCAGCGTGAAACTGGTTTGGCGCTTTCTGGATGCCAATATCGTCCCAAGCAAATTGTCCTTGTGCAATGTTTTGTCACACAATCCTCTCTGGGTATTTGCCACTGGCATCATTTACGAAGGGATATCAACTTGCCCAAAAGACATGTTTTTCCCCTGCGCATGAACTTTGCCTTTTCCACTGGCAAGGAACTTCGAGTGGAACATGAGTCCGCAGCTGCCAGGGTCCAGGGTTCCTAGTATTTCCTAGTAATCCTCCCATTTGCATTCATTTTCACTGATGTCAAGGACTACTTGGTTTCACTTGCATCAGGGTCCAGGGTCCAGGGTTTCTAGAATCCTTCTGATGTCAAGGACTTCTTCAAACGTTCTCACTTTTGTCGCACGTTGGCTCGCCCATGGCCATGGCTCCGTCCCCGAGGCCCCAAGCCCATCGGACCTCCACCTGCGTGCGCTGCGCTCGGTGAAGGCCCGTAAGATGCGACCACCAACTGGAGGGCTCACTGGTGGAAGAAAATGTGAGAGCTGAAGACACTTCAACTCAAAATCTGAGCATTTGGGTGGTGGCATGACTTGCTTTCTGGATGTTTGAGTAAGGTCCCCTCACAAGATCTGCCCATGTGCACGTGCGTGGACAGGCAAACATGCTCGTCCAAACACGTTGGACCACCTGTTGGACTGTTGGAGTTGTTACGCGGTGGGTTCAGTCAAAGTACACGTTTGCCAAGCCCTGACTTTCCCAAGTCGGTCACCCCCATTCATACCGCAGCAAGTTCATGATTGAAGCTACATGTGGCTTGAGATGACATACATCATGAGGGCCTGTTCAAGAATAAACATTTCATCCCGGCTGAGATGAACTAGACTCTATGCTGAACAGGTCACTACTACTACTTTAATTGCGGTTTCCACTGTGTTTGCACGAACAACAAACAACACCTGCAATGACAACGAACTTCCTCAAGTTTGTAGCAAGGACGAGAACTTGTCGTGGTGACAGGAAGGAATGTGATTTTCCTAACAAAATTTAACACGCCGATGTCATCGTTTCCCAGCCATCGGCAATGAGAATCATCAGTCTAAGATATTCAAATGCTTTAAATGCAATCACGGGGAACATTGAGTAAAACCAGCCCGAGGAACCTGGATTCCCTTTCGCGGGTTCCCGGCGGTTGGTTCTCCTCTAGGACCAAGACCTCTATCGCGAGAAGGCACAGCAGATCCTGCAAGGCCTGCAGCAAAAATGCTCCGGGGTGACTGAGTGGAGAAGAAGGAAAAGGACCTCACAGAGGATGGTTCCGTTGATTTCCGTGGCAAACTTATCTTTCCTCTTTAGCCTCACTAGCAAGAATTGGTTAAGATTCATTAGAGTTTAGAGCTAGTAAGAACCTCATGTTCCATGTTCCATCGCTTAGTTTCTTGCGGAGCAACATGCTTGCGGCATTTGATCTGAGCTAGGTGGTTCAGCATGTGTAACGACTACTTATGCATGATAAATGAATTAATTCATATTCATGACCAATGGTAGAGAGAGACAGAGAGCTCCGACACTTGGTACTGGGGCAGGTACGTAGATAACTTAACCCATCATGGGCCACTTACGGCTTGTTCTGATTCACCATCTCATGGGCATCCCATCTCCAGGACTCGATCTCTGAGTGCACGGAGCTGGCAGAACACGTGCCGCGCTCTGATGCGAGCCTCATGAGCTGCAAAGAAGAGCGAGCTGCCGAGCTGCCGAGCTCGTTTTGGGGCGCTGCGCACTTTGGAACTCGGTTTCACCAAGGGATCTCCCAAACCTTGGTAGAAAGGAACTCAAACAGATCGAGTGGATATCGAGTGGGAGGATAACCCAAGAGCAACACTATGACCGGTGAATCAGAGCGACCGCATGGGACCGCACTTGAGACCGGAATGCTGTTGCGACAATCCGAACAAAAAAAAGGCAGGGAGTACAAGATTTGTAGCTTCATTCTGGACTGTGATGGTGTAGAATTGTCACTCCTTTTTGCTCAGTTACATGCCTCTAATGCTTGACATGACGGACTTCTTTGGGATGATGATGTGCGAGGATCATGTATGACATGTCACAAACAGTTCTCATTCGTTCGTCCTCCCCTTCAAATTGTCAGACTCATGACCAACACTGCAAGGATCAGAAGGTGCCAAACAACTGCTGAATTCTTGATTGTTTTGGAACCCTCTTTGTTGTGAGCGGCAAGTGTGGGAGAAAGATATTATTTTTCATCGACTGATTGGACACACTTTGACCTGCCCTGAAAGTGTTTTTTTCTTTGCCTGTTTAGTTTAACTTAATTGTGTGTTTTGACGAGTTCTACCCATGAAATATGGGGGGCTACTTGCAGCAAGTCTGCAGAAATGCAGGAGAAGACTGAAGATAAAGCTGAAGGGTGTGAATCGCCAAGCCCAAGCAAACCGGAAGAGAAAGAGGAAAAAGAAGAGAGAGAAGAGAAGGACGCTTGCATTATTTGAATGAGTCACGTTGGATTTGTTGGGGTTTGACAGGGCAACTAGAGAAGAAAAGATGGGAAGTGCTTTCCTTCGACAACATGTAATTATCATTCCTCATAACTGCTGTTTGAGTACTCTTTGCTAATGTGGTGGCATCGCTCTTAAAAAGAAATCCGCCGGCACTGGAGACCTTGCCGTTTAGATGTCTTGGTATGTTCGGCTGTGTAAATATTTTTTGATCTGTGCCATCAAGTTTCTTCGTATCCAGGACAAGACCGACGGTGCCGAAGCATCTGAATCGCCAAGCGCAAGCAAGCCTGAAGAGAAGGAAGCTTGGCGATGAACTGTATGACTTGTTCTTTTGGTAAATGAGGGTGATGGCATGAGGAGGAGTATGAGAGCCTTGATTGATCCCTGGAATCAAATGTGTCGTTCAGTGGTTATATACTTATATACCCCAGATTACCCCTCATGCTGCTTTGCATTTTCATGCAAGAGTTCAGAGATCCAGGAGCAGGGGACTGAAGACAAAGCCGAAGGGCCTGAATCACCCAGCCCTAGCAAGCCGGAAGAGAAGGACACTGTTCTGCCTGACCGTAGGAGACTTTCATCTTAGTGGTGATTAGTGGTGACTGGACGTAACGAGGTAATTTGGAACTGCAAACGATTGCAACATAACCAGTTTTGAGAATGAATGTGCATAAGCTGACAGCTCGGATTGATCCTGGCCAAAAAGGGTGTGCTTTTTCTTGTGAGGTGTTTGCTTCAGTTGCTTCTTTGTGTTTTACTCACACCATTTACGGAATTGTCCCCGCTATCCAGGAGGAGAAGACCCAAGACGGAGTTGAAGGGCCAGAATCACCAAGCCCAAGCAAGTCAGAGGAGAATGACCTTGCACGATTGACTGTACTAGACTCTACTTTCCTACTCTCTCAGTAGAGCAGAGATAGTGCAAGCAGAATCTTTTTAAAGGGACTGACAATTATACATATAACGCATTACAACTATTGTCCGTCCAATTAAGATTCATTTAGCATAACTGACCCTTCAATAGCCTTCAATGACAGGTGTAGCTTGTGGCCGGCTGTGTGTGTTTGCTTGTGAGTGTTCCTTTGCATTCATGTCCCAATCTTAGCAGTCAGGGAAAGACTGAAGACAAAGGGGCCGAATCGCCAAACCCAAGCAAGCCACAAGAGGAGGACACTTGCACGCCTAAGTGTGCTACATGCTATTTTGATGCGTCTTGATACCAGATCCCGGCACTTGTGGCAACATGGCAACGTGTCAAGGGTGAAGCACATGTATCGTACTAATCATAGTTTGCTCGTGGAATGAACAGTTTACTTGTGCCGTGAGTTTGTTTGTGAGCTGCCGCATTTTGATCTCCAGGAAAAGACGGAAGAGAACGGCGAAGGGTCCGAATCACCAATCGCAAGCAAGCCGCAAGAGAAGGAAGCTTGCATGTCTTAGAGTGGATTCTATTTTCCGGGTTGAGCAGGGCAACTGATGGGTTCGAACTGTTGTTTCATCTTGACAGTTCCCAGATTGTTTGTATCTCATCAACATGGAGAGGTCTGTAAAGTCAATGAGTCAATATCACGGAATGTTGAAGACTTGTTTTGGAACACCTTCATCAAAGCTTAAGCAGAAAGTTCTACATGTTCCAACGCTCCCATGATTTCCGTGTGTTGGACAACTTGCCGATAGACTTTTTGTAATTTTCCTATATCTTTCTAACTCTTAGTCGTAGTCGTAGTCTGATTCAGATCAGCATTTGCTGCAGCGGGCTCTTATAAGATCAAACATCGGCTAAGCGCCAAGGTAGTTGAGTTAGCACAAGGAAAGCATCATCGAAGTGAGTTTCAGGGAGTTTCGTGGAACGCTTTCCTCTCAAGTCGCTTTGCTTTGCTTCGCGTTGCTTCGCATAGCCTTCTCTCAGAGACTGGCAGAGATGGTACCGATAGGAAGCCTCTTTGGTCACACCGGAGCAGCCAGGACGGCGTTTTTTTCACAGTGAAACTCTTTGGACGGGTTCAATGACTGGAATGACTGGAAACCAGGGAGTGAAGGGGTCTAGGCACAGCAGCCCGCCTTTTGGGGGTAAAGGCATGCCAACTCTTCCGCCAAGGAAGTTGAGAAGTCAGACGTGGCCCCATCTCCCACCGATACTTGGCGCAGGGAATCGGTCGATTTCTTCCTTTTCGGAGCCAAAGATCGGAAGAGGTCTAAACAACCACAGCAACCCACGGATGTTTGATGTGTTTTGATGTGGTTCTTGATGTTTTAAGTACTTCTCGACAATTCCAGAGATGGTTGAGGAACAGCACTTTGGTTGCTACATTTGGCACGGTGAGCAGGAAGGGGGCACGCAAGTGAAGTCAAGTCTCCTTGTTCTACACAGGCCATATATATATATTATATAACCAAAAGGTTTTTGAGTTGTTTGTTGCCAGTTTCTCTCCCTACCCAACTCTTTGCCACAGTCCAAAGGATTGGATGTGGGCTGTTTGTGTGTCAGTTTACCCAAACATGTGTTTCCCAGATCATAAAGAAATAATCTTCGCATCATTGAACAACTTTGGACACTCACCTCCAAAACTACATGTAAACATGATGTAAATAGGTCTACAGTACACGGTCTACATGTTCTTTCAGCGGGTCGACACCGTGTGCTCTCCGGGCTCAGGCCAAAACTGTGAGCGAAACGGACAAGGCAGAACGCCTGGCGTGCGAACTCAACGGATTGATTTGAAGCCACAAAGGGAAGTTGGAACAACTTATTGAGTGTGAACTCACTCAACTTTGTAGTATAAGGATCACTGCAGGTCACGCTTGAGGCTGCTGCTCAAGTAGACACAGTTTGGTCAAATCTTGGGCAAGTACATTTAATGCTGCAAATCGTTTGCAACCGGCATGTTCCTGTCATGTTGCTTCAAGTTAAACAATTGTCCGTTGACTTTGCATGAATTCGTCCCACCATCACTCTAAGTGTGCTGTCCTTGCTGCAAGCCACAACCGCACAGAGCTGGATAGTTGATTTGAGTCAAGGAAGTACCCTAGGATACCCTAGGTGTTCGAAGCTTCAACACCACTGTCTCCTTCACTTCTTAGTCAGAGTCGTGCAGGAGACGACTGCGGAGCCAAAGAAGGAACACGAACATCATTTGGAACACGAAGATGGAGAGCTCCACGAATTTAACGAGACGGCGCATCTAGTGGAGCTGGAAGCCGAAGAGGAAGAGGAACATGTGCACGAAGAGGACCTCAAGCTGCGCAATAATTATCGAAAAAAAGTGAAAGGTGATTATAATTGATTTTAGTTTATATGCTATAGATTAGCGGCTATAAGTGCGATTAAGTTAGGCATGTCTTTCCCAGAAGTGTTCACCGCAAGTGTCTTTCTCACTTTTTGTCACGTCTCTGTGGCGCGACCTGCCTAAAGTTTTGGTCGAGCACAGCTACCAGACGCCGGCTTAGACACTGACCATAATTGACCAAATGTGTTGTTATTTCACCTAGCCGTATTTGCAGGAAAAGGAAGAGGAGCCCCAGAAAGAGGAGGCGTGCGTGGTTGGAGTTTGATGGATGGCTGCGTCCGACAGTCCGACAACTGACTGTGGGTTCATCGGGGTTCATGTGGGATTGTACGGCGAATCGATCTTTTCTTTTCATGTCAGTGTTCGGATGTGTTTCTTGATAGGTGCTTTGCCTGGGAGGCCAAACCAAAAAATCAATCAATCAGACTGACTTCTTGTGGAACTCCGTGAGAACTCCACTTGCGCGAGGCACCCACGCACCTGGATCATCCTATAGTGATCATCCTGCATCGAGTCTCACCGTGTCTCACCCACTGGTCTCCTCCCCGGTGCCATCCGAGATACTGTCCAGGAACTTGGGCCTCCCATTAACATTTACAAGCCGGTCACGCCCTACGAGGCGCCCCATGACATGTCTTTCCTTTTTTTTTGCGAGAGGATGCGAGACGGGAAGAGAGACTTCGGGTACGAGAGACAGCAGCTGAAAGCTAGAAAAACACAAAAACACACGTGGGGTATCCTGGGGTGTTTGGTTCAGTGGCTGGCTTTATACAGTAAGAGTGGAGTCCAAATGACTCCGTTTCTGAGAAAAAGGTCATTCCATGAAGATCCAGGAATCGGAGGGTGTTGGACTTCACACGACCCGAAACTCAACAGTAAGGACCCGCGGAGGGCAGGGGCTCGCGGCGAATTCTTCGGGTTGATGTCATTAATGTGGATGATCATGTGTTGAATTCTGGACGAATGATGGGTGGCAGATGCAACAACTGATCCACATGGCACAAGTTATTACAGCCCTGGAGTGTCCAATTCTCCTAACTT